GGAGGATGGATGGAGAGGAAAAGTGAGAGGAAGTCAGGAGGATGGATGGAGAGGAAAAGGAAGTAGACATGAGGGACATTCAGTCTGAAGGGTTTTAAGACAGTGTGGAGGAGACCTGGCTCTTTCCTTCTCGGACATAGTCAGTTGAGGTCAGCTGGGTGCTTTCTCTGCCTCTCTGAGCTAGCAGGCTTTCACCCCAGCATCTGGTTCCTGAGTCTTCAATTGGTAAAACCGACGATAGGGATTTTGCCTTAAAAGCAACAGAGAGTAGCCATCATTGGTGCATTTTACAGGATCATTCATTTATTGTTTAACTTAGACACGGGGTCTTCACCGAGCATCCCTTGATGGCCTCAAACCTGAGGATTGTCAAGGATAACCTTGAGCTTTGGATCCTTCTGCGTCCATCTTCCAAAGACCTGGATTACAGTGTGCACTGCCATGGCCAGTTTATGTGCTTCTGGTGATCTAACCCAGGGCCTCAGGCATGCTAGGCCAATGCTCTACCAACTGAGCCACATGCCCAGCCAAGGTCAGGTTTTAAAGAATTCCTTCCTTTGTGTATTCTGGATAAAGATGGCTGGCACCAAGCATGAACAACATCTCAGTTCTCTTTATAATTAAAGCTAGGATTCTAGGGTTTTTTTGTTTTTTAGAAAGGGTCCATGTTGTCTAGGGTCATCTCAGACTCCTGGGTTCAAAGTGATTCTCCTACCTCAGCTCCTGGTGCTACAGGTGGGCATCACTGAGCCTGGTTAAAGTGAGGCTGTTCTTCCTTTTTCTTTGTGTGTGTGTGCGAGTGCATGCATGTGTCTTTTGCCTGTATGTATGCCTATGAACCACATGTATACCAAGAGCCCACAGAGTACAGAGAAGGCATCAGCTCCCCTGACACTAGAGTTGCAGACAGTTGTGAGCTGCGGGTACAGAGAGCTAACTCTGGGTACTCCGGAAGGGCAGCCTGTGCTCTTAACCTCGGAACTGTCCCTCCGGCCCCTAAAGCGTGGCTTCTGAATAAACTTGCTTTTCACATTTGCTTCTCCTGCGTGGTAGAGCATGGGGTCCTTTCTTGAAGAAATGTATTTAGAGTTAGCATCATTAACATTTCACTAAAGTGTTATTTTTACGGTGAGGTACATTCTTTTTTTTTTAATGGTCTTGTTTAAAACACTCGTCTCGGTCACTGATCTTAACTCCTTGCTGGTTTTTAAATCAAACCTTTGAATTTCAGTTTATGAAACAGGACGGCAAGTCCTTCCCTGAGCTACTAACACCAAATTGTTTTGAGTCTCCAGAAGAGCGTCTGATGCCGTGCACAGTGTCACGGCGTGGGGTGGTTGTGCTTGGCCTCCGCGGTGTTCCTCTGCAGAGGAGCCAGGACGACCCCAGCATTCCTGTCTTCACTCTCCGAGTTGTACAGGTCATGCTCCTCAATGTACTCTTGGACAAGGTCTGGTACCAAGTAGCGGATGCTCTGGCCCCTTCTGAGCGCCCTCCGGATCTTGGTGGACGATATGTCATTGGTGATCCACTCATTCACTAGGTGGATGTTGCTCTGATGTTTCCACAGCACATCAGACTCGTAGATGAATTTCTGAGCGTCACTGCCAGCCCGAGTGACACAGATGAGCCCAAAGTTGGACACGATTTGTGTGATGTCCTCCGTCTTCCACAAGTTGGGCACGCTGAAGGACTCCAGTAAATCTGCCCCGCACAGCAGTGTCACCCTGGGCACACCTCGGGGGAAGAACCAAGCACAGTGTCAGGGTTTGTTTTCTTAATAATCACCCGTATTAAAGTGACTGTGCCCATGTGAGGGAAAAGTAGATCTGCTGTCGTTTACCCCAGAGCCCTGCCTTCCTTCCTAACATCATCGGGGACCCAGCGAGTATAGAATAAGAAATAAAAACACCAATGGGGTCTCTACTGTGGAATCTGAGCAATTTGTGGATCCTGGTAGAACATCACAAACCTGCTGGTTTGGCCTCCTGGGGCTTCTGTGGGCTGGAATCTTGCTTTTGATCAATCCACTTCCTCTTCCGCCCAGGCCTTTCCAGTGCGGGTGAGCTTTGTGGGTGACTGCAGCTGCCAGCTGCCAGATTCTCTTGATGGTGTCTACAAAATGACAACCCAAAAGCATACTCCTTAATGTCAGAGTGCTCTCTGAAGTACTGTGTGTGTGTGCGCACACACGTGTGCATGTGTGTGTGTGTTACATTAGGAGTTAACTACTTACTCCCTTACCCAGCTGTCTTACACACTCCTCTCAGCTTCTCATGGGAGAAGTGCTGTCCTCACCATGGGGGAAGATGGGACTTGAGGCCTCGGGTCCACCGGTTAGCAGAGTCCCCAACACTGGAAGTGTCCCACACCCGATGGAGTGGACAGGTGCCACCGTCAGTGTCTGACTGTGTTTGTCAGCCCACTGAGAGAGGAGCAGATTAAACTGCCTGCAGTGCCACAGAGCCGGGATTTTTATCCAACAGTCAGGTACAGAGCCTACACCCTTGAAGCACATGGCAAGGAGAGGGACTGGAAGGGACAAGTGTCTGAGGCCTTCAAGGAGAGCATCCCTGCAGGAATGGGGCTGGCAGCAAAGGCTCACTGCCTTACATCAGTGCAAAGCTACCCAAGGAATGTGGACTAAAGACCCAGTGGTTGGCCCTGCACACCCTTAACCCCTTCCCCCCTCAACAGCCAAACTGAATGTGCATGAGAAACATTCCTGAGGGCAGGGGGAAGACTGGGACTGAAACAAGATGATGGCCTCCCATGGGAGAACATTTTACCATCAGCAGGGAGATTGCTTTTCCTGTTAACCCTGAAAAGGGAGCCCTGGTATGTCACAGGTAGCTGCCATCTTCTGGCTCAATGCCCTGTCCTACCCTAAACACTAGCCAGAGGCCCTTGTGTAAATGTCCAGTGTGGCTGAGAGTCTGCAGATAAAACTCTCTGGGAGAGTCGTGTGAGACAGAAGCCAGTCACTGCACGAGCCTTCATAACCCGCAGCTCAAGCGCCAGCAATGTCAGCTGATGCCAACAGCCGCAAAGGGCAGTGGGAGTGGGTCAGGTCCTGTTCTGGCTGTGCAAGGGCCACCCCATGCTTCTGGTCTCTAACATGCTGCACACAAAATGTCCCAAGAGTGTCCTACTCTGACCCCTGAGAGTCTAAAAAGCAGACATTAGACAAAGGTTTTTAACAAGGTCCTTTAGTTCACTCTAGATTATTAGACAGTACTTCCTTCACTGGACTGGTCTCAAAGGTCTGAGCACAGAGGTCTGGGTAGCCTATGCTGTCCTGCAAGCACCACACAAGGTCAGACTCTAGGCAAGTTCTGTCTGACACTCATCCTTATTAAGTATGATAAGGCAGTCATTCAAAACAAACAAATCAGACAGCAGTGGGAGGTCCAGAATAAAAGACATAAGCCCCTCAGAAGATACAGTTCATGACGGGGAGGGGGAGCATTAGATAGTAAATATACAGAGAGCTAAAGATATGGCTCATGAGGGGGAGGGGGAGTATTAGACAGAAACAGTAAACACACAGAGAGCTAAACACAATGGGGTCTTAGAGGGAAGCAGCAGCTTCTCTTAAAACCTGGAGAGGAAGTTCTTTAATGGTGAGCTCACAGCCATCTGTAATGGGATCCGATGCCCTCTTCTGGTGTGTCTGAGGACAGCGACAGTGTAATCACATACATAAAATAAATACATCTTTAAAACAAGATTTTAAAAAAGAATGAGAAGTAGAGAGAATGAAAGAGAGAGGGAGAGGGAGAGGGAGAGGGAGAAGGAGAGGGAGAGGGAGAAGGAGAGAGAGAGGGAGAAGGAGAGGGAGAGGGAGGAGGAGAGGGAGAGGGAGAAGGAGAGGGAGAGGGAGAGGGAGAGGGAGAGGGAGAGGGAGAAGGAGAGAGAGAGAGGGAGAGGGAGAGGGAGGAGGAAGGGGAGAGAGAGGGGGAGAGGGACAGGGACAGAGAGAGGGAGAGGGAGTGAGCACTACTCTGAGGGGGTGCAGGGGCAGAGCAGCCTCTTCAGGATCCCTGAGCAAATCCCAAGAACAAAGAAATGTTCAGACATTTATAAATTTGGGGGGTAGGCTGGCAGGAATTTTTACATCATCTGATCTAATTTAACATAGTGGAATGACAAAGAGAACAGAAGAGCCAGGTGTCACAAACTGACAACTGTCACAGCACATATCAGACTGCTTCTGAACCCTGCCCCAGAGACGGCTGCAGGGAGTCTTTCTGGGCTGTGGGGCCTGGCCCTTTTAAATGATCACTGTCTTTTAGGGGTACCACTCCCTTTAAGCATCTCTTCCCTTCTTCCACATCTAGGAAGACTGATGACTGCAATATCCTCCAGCAACACTGTCTTTTTCCCTCCAGGCAGAACAGCCAGGCCAGCTTCCCTTAATCTCTGACAGGGATATGTCTGAGGAACAAACATATCTCATCCCATGCTGAAAGACACAAGGGCTTAGGGGCCCTGATCTGTCTTGGAGCTTTGGGACCTTGGTGTGGTGTTTGAATAAGAATGGTCCTGTAAGGCACATATATTTAAATGCCTAGTCACCAGGAAGAGGCATCATTTGAAAGGATTAGAAGGGTTTAGAAGGTGTGGCCTTGTAGGAGCCAATGTGTCACTGGGGGCAGGCTTTGAGGTTTCAAAAGCCCATGTTAAGCCCTGGGTCTCTCTTGGCCTGCTGATGAGGATGTAGCTCCTAGCCACAGCTCAGTGTGGCTTCTCCAGCGCAGGTGACAACCTCACACTCCTGCATAGTCAGATGCAGAACTGAAACCATGGCAGCAGGAACGCCCCTTCCCCCTTCCCACCCCTTCCCCAGGACCAGTGCTATGGACTGTACCCCGGTTACCTGAGCACCTTCACAGTCTCCACCCACTCCTTCTGAAGACTTTCCCACGTGTCCACTTCCACCCAGTTTGAGTTCTTGGTGGCAAGTTCTGCCATGATGATTCGGTGGTGGGCAGGGATGAGTCCTTTCTTCTTGTATGCATCACCGACCGGTGAGATGATGCCTTTGATAACTCTGTATTTTCCTGAATAAAGAGTGATGTTTGACATTAAGGCATAACAAATCAGACTTTATGAACAGGAAATATCAATATTATTTTATGGTTACAATGCAACTCCTCCCCCCTTTAATAGGCAATTGAAACTGTGGTAAAGGGCTAGCAAGAGGGCATAATGGGTAGAGGAGAGTGCAGTTAAGCCTGATGACCAGAGTTCAAGCCCCAGGACACACATGGTAAACGGAGAATGGATGTCTCCAAATTGTCCTCTGACCATCTCAACAATACTGTGTCTTACAAGTAAGTAAGTAAATAAATAAATAAATTTTAAAAAAGATTTATTTTATGTATGTGAATACACTGTCATTGTCTACAGACACCCCAGAAGAGGGCACCAGACCCCATTACAGATGGTTGTGAGCCACCATGTGGTTGCTGGGAATTGAACTCAGGACCTCTGGAAGAGCAGTCAGTGCTCTTAACCGCTGAGCCATCTCTCCAGCCCCATAATTTTTTTTTTTTTAAATTAGAAAGGAAACTGTAATATTACACCAGTTTTAGTTCTGTAGTGTGGAGCTCATGCAGGCTGCTACACAACCTTCCCCCTTTCCACTCTCAGAACTTCATGTTCTCCAACTAAAGCCCTCCACCCCTACACACTAACTCCACGTTCCCTACATGGCTTATGCTCAAAACTCTGGTGGGTGTTGCCATCCCTTGTGAAAGCCTGAGTCAGCCTGCATTGTTCACCTCGGGCAGCCGCAGGAATGCGGCTCGCCTCCTCCAGGTGCTTGACACTCACTGAGCCTCTGCCCAGCCCTGGTCCTTCTTATGTGTTTCCCTTTTTCTTCTCCTCTTCCTCCTCCTCCTCCTCCTCCTCCTCCTCCTCCTCCTCCTCCTCTTCCTCCTCTTCCTCCTCCTCTTCTTCCTCTTCCTCCTCCTCCTCTCCCTCTTCTTCCTCCTTCTTTATTTTTATTTTTTTCCTCATACAAGGTCTTGTTGTGTCATCATGGCTGTCCTGGAACTTGCTATATAGACCAGGCTGGTCTGACACTCCTAGAGATCCACCTGCCTCAGACTTCCATGTGCTGGGAGTGCACCATCACACCTGGCCTTGTTCACACCTGCCTGCTACAGTCTTCTGCAACAAGCACTTGTACCCGCTGAGCCACCTCGCTGGCCCCATTAAGCTTTCCGGGCTAAGTCCCTGCACCTGGAAGCAGGGCCACGTGCTTGTGTCTGGGATCAGGCATTTACATGACGGCCTTTAAACTAGCTGGGTCGTTGCTCCTACCTGTAGCATTCATATAGTCCTTGGCCAGCTCAAACAGCCGGAGGTGCATGTTGGTGATTGGGTTAAAAGAGCCACAGGCCAGGAGAACCACTTCTGTCTTCTTGGATGTGTCCATGGGGAGAAGATGGGGTTGTTGACCTAAATGCAATCCTCTGACACTGATGTTGTCTGCAAAGGAGAAAGGACACACGTTCATTTACAGATCTCTCGATGTCACCGGGCTCTCCCTGTAGACAGGTGGGCAAATACTTGGCTTCACTGATTGAGACGAACTGCAAGATGGGCTTCATGCTCTGCCCTTTATTTTCACAAGTTCCTCCCCTAAAGAAACGGGATACACCTCTCTCTTCCTATGATTAGATTTGTCCAAAAGAATATGGCAGAAAAAATAACATGTTAGCTTTGAGCCTTGCACCTAGAGTCTATCATAGAGATATTTTCTGTTGTTATACTAACATATAATAACACACTCAAGAGCCAGGCGGTGGTGGCACACGCCTTTATCCCAGCACTTGAGAGGCAGAGGCAGGTGGACTTCTGAGTAGTTTGAAGCCAGCCCAGTCTAGAGAGTAGTTCCAGGACAGCCAGGACTACACAGAGAAACCCTGTCTTGAAAACAAACAAACAACAAAGATATGAGAGAGGATAGCAAGTCTCTAACTCCAGAACTTGAGAGAGAGAGACACAGGAGATAGAGACAAGTTCTCATAGCACAGGTTGGCCTTAAACTGGCTACATAGCCTAGGCTAACTTTTGAACTCCCGATTTTCTTGCCTTCACATTCCAAGTGCTGGGATTATATGTATGCCACCATGAGTGGCTAAGGCTGGGTACATTTTCAAGAAAAGAGATTCCACTGGCTGAAGAACGTGGCACACTGGGTACATCATAATAGGGTAGAGAAAGTGAACCAGTCCTGTTAAGAAAGGGCCAAGTTTCTAATGTTGCCTAACTTTAAAATAAGGTGTGCACCTTTAATACTACTTGGGAGGCAGAGGCAGGTGGATCTCTTTGAGATCAAGGCCAGCCTGGTCCACTGAGTGAATTCCAGGACAGCTAGGAACAGCTAAACAGAGAAACTCTGCCTCGAAAACCAAAACCACAAACGAAAACAACAACAACAAAAAACTGCTCTCCTGAAAATGAACTCACTCTCATGACCTTCTGATTCCCACTCGGCACCTCTCCTTTAAGGACACCGTCCCGGCACAGCCATGCTGGAAACCAAGCTTTCGGCACACAGACTTGGAGGAAACACTCAGACAACACCTAAACTAAACAGAGATGTCCTATCTTCTGCTGCCGCCTCCATGCTAGACTGCTCTGGGATGACAGCGGCACCGCAGCTGAGAAGACAACTGGCTTCTCTGATATGCGACTGGCCATCAGAGGCCAGCCAAGCCACAGGCAAGATCCTCTTTCCCACAGCAAGCCCAGGAGAGAACAGACGCACTTGATGAAGTTCAGCAAACCCCACGGGTTGTTCTCCATCTTAAGCAGAAATGAATATTTACTGATGGATGTCACTTGGCTTTTGTGATGGAATTTTAATAAAGTAATTCACAGAGCTGGGGATATAGCCAAGTGATAGGACACTTGCCTAATACATGAGGTGTTCAATTCCCTGCACAGCAAAACAAACAAACAAACAAACAGTAATTCATATAGCTCTTGAAGAAACAACAGAAGAAACTATGGCAGGCAGTGGAAATGGATCTGAGCGTGCCTGGCCCTCAAACGGTCTTGGAGTTCTAGCTGCCTGGGGGTGGGGGGAGGGGGGGAGGCAGGGACCTGAGAGGAGCCTGGACAAATGACCAAGATCTCATATCAAAAAATCTTCCCAAACCTCCCAAAACAACAGGTCTCAAACAATAAGTGCTTGTCAATCACGCAATCACGAGGTCCTGAATTTCATCTCTGGCACCTACATAAACAAGTCAGGCAAAATAGGCACAGGTCTGTAATCCAAGGACTGGGCAGGGCAGGCAGAGACAGGAGGATATCAAGGGACCTCTGGCTAGCCAGTCTCTCCAAATCAACAATCTCCAGGTTCACTGAGAGACCTTGTCTTAGAACAAGGTGGGGAGGGGTTAAGGAAGACCTGACACCAATCTCAGGCTTCTGCTTGCACGCACACACACCCCTACTCCTACTGTTGCGCATGCACATACATCAGAGTTGGGAACACATCAGAGTCTGGAATCCCAGCCCTGGGGAAGCAGAGCTAGCCAGTCTAGTTCAATCAGCAAGCTCAAAATTCTGTGTGAGAGCCCATGTCAAAGAATAAGGCGGACAGCTATTGAGGATGACACCAGCTGTTGATCACAGGCTTCCACATGCACACACACACACACACCACACACACACACACACACACACACACACACACACACACACACGCCAACCAACCAATAAAAACAAAACAACAAAAGACAGCTGCTAACTGAGGACAGATACTGAGACTAGTCCTTGATGCTCAGTGGATGTTAACTGAGTTAGGGGTTGGGACTAGAGCTCAGTGGAATGCTTGCCTCACACTCGGTGTTGGATACCCTGTGTCCAATCCCCAGTAGTGCTCCCCTCCACCCCAAAAGAAGAGAAGGAGGAGTTAAGCAGCAAGGGTTTCAAGGTCCCACTTCTCCTTTCTCATTACAAAACCGTGGTTTGCTAGCCCTGTCCCTTCCAACCTGACCTCTATCCACTTCACACACAAGTGCCTGTTGCAGAGCCGGGAGAAACAGAAGGAACGTAAGTTCAAGACCAGCCTGGGCTATAGGAGACCCTGTCTCTAAAAAAGGCAGTATGTCCACAAAACTGTAGTCTACAGGGAAACAGGTACCAGCCGACTTCTGAGCAAGCTCTCCAGGACTTGTTGGAAGGTCCTTCATGCCAGTCCCAGGTACACCCAAGACAGGTTCTAGACGCTGTGCCCCAAGGGAGGGCAGAGTAGAAGGATGGAAGGTGTGGAGGGAGTCCAAAGACTGCCTGGGATCTGGAAACAGAGAGAGGACAAAGTGCTCCCGGCCCCACCCTGTGCTCTGGGGAGCTCGGGTTCCCTTCTATCCCTGGGGAACGAGGAGGCTGGTGGAAGCTGATCTTGGTGTACAGGAGGCAGTCTTTGTCCTTTGTCACACCGGTCACCTGTCTCAGATATCCAGCCATCTCAGCTAGGCTCTCCACCCTCCAAGCAACAGAGTTAAGTTACAGTGAGGCTCCTACATCGTGGCCTGTCCCAACATGGAGGTGATGGATGGGCGTGGAACCTCAGGCAGAACTGTTCTGAACGCCGCTGCTACCAGACCAGTGTCACCATGATTCCCTTGTGGTGGGTCCACACAGCCTGTCACCGGCACTGCTGGCTGCATCAGCTCAGGCTGTAAGTGCCACCATGATTCACTTTTGTTTGGTCCATACAGCCTATCACCTGCACTGCTGGCTGCCGAGGTCGCACAGGCTCAGGCTGTAAGTGTCCCTCCCCAGCGTGTGATGTCAAAAAGTTCGTTGCTTCCTGGGGCAGTCTGACTAAGTTTAACTGAAATTTACTTTTAAATCACCCATCTTTTAAGACACTGTGATACAAACATTTACTCATGACTACAACTGTCTGAAGAGCATTGTGACTCTGCTATTCTTTCCCATCTCCAGACGCCCAGGCTAGGGCCACATTGGCCCACTGTCAAATGACACGTCCGGCCAGACCACCTCTCACAACCGTCGCTATTTCTTTTGAACTGGTAGCTTTCTATATCTTGTTCTGACGATGCTTCAGGTGTTTTAAACAGTGTAGATTCTGAAGGTGTCTATTCTTTTGGTACCTCATCTGAAAGTACAGTAATTGTTTTCTATGAACATCGTACAGTCTTTCAGCCCTAAGCCCTACTAATAAAACAACTGAGGTGGACATGGCCTGGGGTGTGGACTAGTATTTTATGATGAAGGTCTTACTTATAGGTCATTGAAACAACATGTAGAAGAATTTAGAAAATGTTTGCAGTGACTCCTGTTTGGTCTGCAGGCCGTGATAGGCAGGCTAACTCGGTTCACACTCTGTGTGGTTCAGACTGCCTGGGGACAAGGGTGGGAAGTGGCCTCGGATCCTAGGATATCTACATGCTGTCTGTCCTTGAACAACTCAAACCTTTCTGGACCCCAGGCCTGGTGCCTCTAGTCCCAGTGTCTGGCAAGCAGAGGCAGAAAGATTGCTTTAGCCCAAGAGTTCAAGGGAAACCTGAGGCACATAGTAAGACTTCATCTTTTAGAGCTTTTGACCACTAAGTAAGGTAATGTCAGATAGTCATACGTTTATCTAACTGCAAACATTAACTTCTGTAGTTTTGGGTTTTTTTTCTATTTATTCTTACGTTGAGCTAATACTTCTCACTGTATTTATGTGCTGTTTCATAACGTTAACCGAATCACAGCAAAGGTTCTGCAGACTGCCTCCCGACTGCTATCAGCGGCACCTGGTACAAGGCGGGGGCTGAGTGATGGCAGCCACTAGCTTTTTACTGAGGTGTTGACAGGTGCCGTTTCACTGGAAAGCAGTGAGCTAGCAATCCACTTTTGCTTCGTTTAAGACAGAATTTGAATTTGCTTCCTTGAAGTCCTAAAGGTGTCCCTCCCTGTGCCCGTGCAGCCAGGTGACAGTGTTGCTGTTTGGGATCAGCGTCCTGATCCTCCAGTTCTACGTGCTGCTGCGGTAAGTCTCAGCCCAGGCAGGCCTTACCTGTGGGACTGGTGTGCATGCTCCCTGGGATTCCTGTTACACGCTTAACTGCTGCCTGCCCCATTGTTTCTGTTCCTGCTACTGATGGCAGTTGTGTCCGCCCCTTCGCATACTTGGAAATCTCAGTGCAGTAAAGATTGCAGAGAATCGGGCAGATTCAGTTTAAGTTTTAACAAATATTTACTTCCAGTGTAAGAGGCCGTTAAACGGAAGACAGTGAGGGCACCACCAATAACTCAACTGATGGATCCCCTAGGGTCCAGTCCCAAGGGCCTAGTGTGAGCTAATGTCTGTAGGGCCGAGGGCAAGGCAGGCACACTCGATCAACCGGATTCTGAACTGATGTGCGACTCCAGTTTCAGGGCGAGCTTGGTCTGAAAGCTAGAAAAGCTTTCCATTGAGCAAGCGAAGCAAAGGCAATCTGCTTGCCGAAAAGAAGAGC